CCCCCACCCATCCCCACCCCCAATGGGCTGTTGATGAGAGATCTAGTTTTAAATAGAACTTTTAAAAACCTGGCCAGCCCCTTCGGTGTTTTAAATGCATGAGACTAGCAAAAAGCTCCAAATGGTGTACCGCTCAGATAGCCATCTGGGAAGGGCTTGAGAGGGCTCTAAGGACTCTCTCTCCAGAGGAATATAGACCAAACAAGTCCTTCATCTGAGGGAATCTTTAGTCAGACTTTTGCTGACTTGCTTGTGTGGCTGGACTTTTAAAGGGCTGTTTTAAATTTAGTTAAACAATTAAAGTTGGTTGAAATGTATAGGGGTAAGGGAATTAAAGAGGCCTTGTCAACATTTGAATTTTTATGAGAAACTCATGCTTTTTTGACTTAAATGTTTTCCTGTCAGGGTGAAATACAAAACACTGAGTATTGCCTTGCAAAATTAATTTCAGTTTTGTCCCTTCTTTCATGCTTACCAGAGTAATGCAGTGTAATATTCTAGCCTGTTGACTTTGTTTTGACCCTTTGAGCTTAAAACCTGCCTCCCTCACCCCACGAGACTGTTTGCTCTCTTCCTGGGAGAGCAGGACTGAGAACACCGCCTGGGACATTCTTTGGCTGTCGTCTGCCATTTTTCTTCACCAATTCACTTCATGCAAAGTTCAGTAACAAAAGTCTTAAATAAGATTGGTCCCCAAACCAATCTGAGCAATTCCACTAGGAGCAACCTTCCAGTCTGACAGTGCACCTTTCAGCCTGACCTATTTGTCTCCTCTTCAGCCAGTTCCTTATGCACTTTCAGTTCTCAATCTCTATAGTCTCCAATTTAATTGAAACTTACCATGTGGAACCGAATCAAATGCATTACTAAAAATCCATTCAGATTAGATCTACTGCATTTATTTTGTCTAAAAAAATCAGTTATCTACCTGTTATCCCAATTACCATTGACCTCTATGCCCTTATAACTATTTTCTCTTTCAAAATTTGTTCGAAGAACTTGCATACAATTAAGGTCAAACTAACAGGACTGTAGTTTCCTAGGTCACTTTTTTCCCTTTCTTTAAAAATAGGAACTATATTAGCAGTTCTCCCATCATAGGCGTGAGCCCTGAATTTACAAATTAATTCACAATCCTTGCTATTGGATTTGCAATTTATTGCGCCAATTCCTTTAATGTTCTTGAATGGCGATTCCATCAGAGGTGGAAGTCAATTTCTATAGCCTTGATCCTATTTCCCACCCTGCCACTAGCTATATGCTCTTCATTAGCCTCATTAAAAACTGAGGCAAAGTATTTAGGTGTTGACCATACCTTGATTATCTTTAATCTCCATCCATCCTCTGTGTTTAGCTTCCTTGTGGGAGTTGCAGCACATGCGTTACTGTATGTAACATAGGCTGCCAGCACTCACTGGGGGCAGTTTTAAGAGCAGTCCCAATTCCAACAAAACAGCTGACTTTCCTAAGAGATGCCAGATATAACCTTTCAGTTTCTCTCCCTGGCTTTTTTTAACCTGTGAGGTGGCCAAAGTCCCTGGCTACGTCTACACTGGCACCCTTTTCCGGAAATGCTTAAAACGGAACAGTTTTCCGTTATAAGTATTTCCGGAAAAAGCGTGTCTACACTGGCAGGATGCTTTTCCAGAAAAGCACTTTTCCCAGAAAAATTTTAGCCGCGCTTTTCCGCAAAAAAGCCCCGATCGTCATTTTCGCGATCGGGGCTTTTTTGCGAAAAAGACTACTGTGCTGTCTACACTGGCCCTTTTCCAGAACAGTTTTCCGGGAAAAGGACTTTTGCCCGAGCGGGAGCAGCATAGTTTTTCCGGAAAAGCAGCTGATTTCTTACAGTAGATCGTCAGCACTTTTCCGGAAATTCAAGGGGCCAGTGTAGACAGCTCGCAGCTTATTCCGGAAAAGTGGCCGCTTTTCTGGAATAAGTGGCCCAGTGTAGACACAGCCCCTGTGTTTAAAATCTGAAATGCATGGCCTCTGGTCGACTCGAATCTGCATATGCTGGGTAGAGAGTTTGGTTCTAGGTTGGACTACCTAGGCACTAGGATCTGGAGCTGAAGACTTCTCCTGTTTACAATAAATGTATATTAGGAAAGAAAGCAGCATTGTTGGGGAAGGGCTGTGAGAAGACCGAGTAACTCCCCATCCCAGTATTGCTACCCGGATGCTGACTTGCTGCATTGTCCTGCACTAGCTGTGTGTCTGTCACACTTCATTCGATACAAGGGAGATGTTTAATCTTCTCTGAATGCCAAGAGGTAGTTAACGGCACACAGGAAGTGCCAAGTGCTTTGCACATATTGATCAAATCACTTTAATCCATACTTCCCCTAAAGTTACTTGGTAGCTGAACTGCGGCTTCCTTCCCCACCCAGATGGAGGACCCAGCTCAGCTGAAGGAGGAAGGCAACAAGTATTTTCAGGCTGGCGACTATGAGAATGCTATTAACAGCTACACCAAGGCCATGAAGCTGAGCAAGGACAAGTCGCTGCAGGCTGTGCTGTACCGGAATAGGGCGGCATGCTTCCTGAAGAAGGTGAGATGAGAGCCTCTGGATTTGGGGAGGGGAGGTGATGATGTACAGGCGGGTTAGGAGGTTTGGGTTAGGGGCTTATCTGCTCACTATATTTTCGATATAGAAAACAGTGCTGCTCATCTGACCAGCTCCAAAATCTTGCTCCCTTCAGCCTGTCCAGTTGTGCGCCTGGAAACATCCAGGGGACCGGTGTTCCCCAGTAGCCTTGGGCCACTTGCATCACAGCCAGTTTCTAAGATGTCCCGTTGCTATAGATCCTTGGTGCATTGTCTTCGAGGAGTTGTGCCAGGGTTTGGCTTGGGGGACGAGGTCTGGTGTGAAGGGTTAAAAATCAGGAGGGGGATTTGTTTACTGGGGGCGGAAATGGGACATTGTCCTCAGTCTCGTCTTTGTCGGTGCCACCCTCCTGGTTAAACAGAGTCTCCCTGGGGCCTCTTGCCAAGCACAAACCAATGGAAACCTGTAAGTTCTTTAAAGCAGGGACTATGGGTACGTCTACACTACAACGTTAATTCGAACTAAGCTAATTCGAACTAACGGATCCAGACTAAAAAACTAGTTCGAATTAGCGTTTTGCTAATTCGAACTAGCATGTCCACATTAAGTGGCCAGAAGCAGTGCCGGCAGGGCATCAGATGAGGACTTAGAGCATGGAGCTGCTATCTCAGGCTAGCCGAGGGCTATGCTTAAAGGGACCCGACCCCCACCCCGGACAGACAGTTCTCAGGGGTGCCCCGCTTGCAAAGCAGTCCTGGCTTGGAGTGCCCGGAGTACCCACACTGGGCACATCACAGCACTCGGCCATCAGCCCGGCTGCACTTGCCGCAGGCTGCCATCTGGGGAGAGGGGGCAATTGGGGGGCTGCAGGAGAGCTTCCACCCCCAGAAGCCCGCAGAGCCAGCCCAGTCCTCCCCATCGGGGGCTCGTGCCCCATTCCTCCCTCACCTCCTTCCACTTACCCTTCCCTAGCCCCCCTTCTTGTTGTACAAAATAAAGATAACATGTCTTCCAAAATGGAATTTGTCTTTATTGAACAAAACTGGGGGAGACTGGGAAAAGGAGGTGGGAGAGGGGAAGAGAGAGGGTGGGAGAGGGGAGGGCAACTACAGTGACCAGAGGTTTGGAACAGGTCCCATATGAAGAGAGGCTAAAGAGACTGGGACTTTTCAGCTTAGAAAAGAG